CAGAGTGGGGTGAGGCGGCGGAGGTAATGCATACAGTGGCATACAGAGATCTGAGGAGGCCGTGAAGTTGGCTCTCTCCTTCCACCTTTAAGTAGTGCTGGGGCTCAAACTCAGGTCACCTGGATTGCACAGCAAGTGCCTTATCCTCTGAGCCATCCTCCTGGACCTAGCTTGTGTTTCTTTTGACTCATTTGATTCCCTTAGCTTTTAGGGTTCTTTATCTTTTAGAGTTTCATTGAAATATGTTTATGTGGCTTTTATGGTCATTTTATTGTATTATTACTGTATTTTTTGTTTGTGTATATCGTAACTGTCCTCCAAGTCAACCAACTCCCTTCTTGGAGATTTCTGCTGTGCCCCTTGCAAAAGGATTATCCCAGCTGGGCTTGTTGACTGTTTACACCCCCCACAGAGGGGCAGAGAGGGCTCGCCTGAGTATTCAGCTGCTCCTGCCACCTGTTGTAAGGAACTCTACTTTAATTGCACTCAGCCTCAGGGAGGGGCTCGAGCATGTAGCTTGGGGAAGAGTAGGGGAAAAGGGGCTCCATCTATGTGGATGCAGGAAAGCCATCATTCCTGCTGGGTAAAGGCTTTCACCTGTTGGTTGGGGGAGCACTCACACCCTTCACTTGTGCTCTGTAAGGAAGCCCAATAAACTTATTGGGTCCCCAGAGTGAACTTGAGAGGAATCATGCCTCTGTTTGTTGTTGGGACCTTAGGAGAAGGGATAGATGTTGCATAGTTTGCCCCTGGAAAGGAATTTTAGCTATCGCGTCTATTGTGTGATGTTGGGGAATATTATTTTAAGGTGTGTTACTTTTGTTTATGTTGCATTTGTTTAACTCTGTGAAGCTGTGTTATGGTGTCTGTCTAAAACACCTGATGGTCTGATAAAGAGCTGAATGGCCAATATCGAGGCAGGAGAAAGGATAGGTAAATAGAAGGAGAAATCTGGGAGAAAAAAGGGAAGAATGAGCGAGAGAAGGAGCAGGACTCCAGGGACCAGCCACCCAGCTACACAGCAAGCCATGGAGTAAGAGTAAGATTTACAGAAGTAAGAGAACAGAAAAAGCCCAGAGGCAAAAGATAGATGGGATAAGCAAAGTTAAGGAAAATTGGCTAGAAATTAAGCCAAGCTAAGGCCAGGCATTCATAAATAATAATAAGCCTCTGTGTGTGATTTATTTGGGAGCTGGGTGTGCCCCCCAAAAGAGCAAAAAGAGTAAAATAAAAACAACAGTGTGGGAATGTGGGAGCATATGTGCTATGCCATACATGAGGAGGTCAGAGGACAACTTTCTGGAGTCGGTATGTCCTTCCAGTGTGAAATCCAGGATATAACTCATGTGGTCAGGCTTGCAAGACAAGCATCTTTAGCCTGTGGAGCCAGCCCCCAGCCCAGTTTTGTTTATTAGAAAACTAGACTTCTTTGTACCTGGTTAGCTTATTCAAATAGTTCTTATATCTGTCTTTGTTTTATTATAATTCTATCATTATTTTTCTTGGATCTACCTTAATGTCCTTTATCTTTTTTTTCCTCTTAATTGATGTCATAATATACTATTTGATGCTTATAATTTACCTGTTTTTCTTATATTCTCAATAATTATCTAATCATAATTATTATCTAATTACAATATTTACATCACTTAAAAAAAAACAACAACAAAAACCCCTGAGTCCAACAGTAACCACTCTACTTGCCCTCAATCCCTGTGCCTTGGCAACATTAATCTGTTTTTCTTTTTTCTCTATTGATTTGCCTATTTTGAACATTATGGAATTATATGATACATAGCCTTTTATGTCTGGTGCTTTGCCTAAGCTTGGTTTTTCAGTATTTCCCCATGTTACAGTGTGTCTTAGCTAGGATTTCTATCGCTTTGACAAAACATCATGACCAAAAAGCAAGCTGGGGAGGAAAGGGTTAATTTGGTTTACACTTTCATGTCACTGTTCATCATCAAAAGAAGTTAGGACAGGAACTCAAATAGGACAGGAACCTGGAGGCAGGAGCTGATTCAGAGGCCATGGAGGTGTGGTGCTTATTGGTTTGCTCCCTGTGGTTTGCTCAGCCTGCTTTCTTATAGAACCCAGGACCACCAGCCCAGAGATGGCACCACCCACAGTGGGCTGGGTTCTCCCCCATCAATCACTACTTAAGAAAATGCCTTACAGCTGGATCTTATGGAGGCATTTTCTCAATTAAGGTTCTCTCCTTTCAGATAACTATAGTTTGTGTGTCAAGCTGACGTAAGACTAGCCAGGACACAGTGTATTTTATTTCTTTTTACAGTTGAAGTGATATATTACATTGTGTTAAGCCAGCATTCATCATTTGGTAAATATTTGAGTTGTTTCCATTTTGGGTTATTGTGAATAATATTGCTAAAAACATATCCTAACTTGTTTTTGGTTTATTCTCATCCAGTTGAACCACTTATAAGGGTTTTTTTAAAAGATTTATTTTTATTTTTTTATTTATTCATTTTATGTGTGAGTGTTTTGTCTGCATGTATGTATGAATGTATATTTCATAAGTGCTTGATGCCTGTTGAGGTCAGAAGAGAATATTTAGATCCCCTGGAACTGGAGTTACAGATAGTTGTGAATCACCATGTGGGTGCTGGGAATCAAACCTGGGTCCTCTGTAAGAGCAGTAAGTGCTCTTAACCACTTATATATCTCTCCAGACCCCCATTTATAAGGTTTTGATTTCAAACATCATATCTTTAAATTCTAAGCTTTCTAATAAGGCTTCTCCCATTACTTTTGGTTTATTTATTACAGTGAGTTCTTGTTTCATGGCTTCTTTTTCTTTGTTGAAGGTATAGATATTTATTTTAAAATGTCTCATTACTAACTCCTCAGGTACAAGTGTTGTTGTTTGCTATGTTATAGTTTTGATGGTATCAAGCTTCGTTGCTTGGTAATTTAGAATTAATCGTCCATGATCTGTTTAGCTTGAATACATCCCATGTTGACAACTAGTAGGTCAAAAGTTCTCAGGGTTGCTGAGCCCTAGCCTTGCAAGTTGTATGTCTTAGATTGTAATGACAAATTATAGACATGGGTAATGACATGCAAAGCTCCTGATGGTAATAAATTGTATAGTTCTGAGTCCCATGACTGTTTACATCACATGGTTAAGGCCTTTGTCACACATCAGTGATGTGGCTACCAGCTTTCCTTTGCTCTAGCCATCCCTCAAGTGAGTAGGCAGTGTTTATTCATGCCTGGTACAGGTGTGGAGGTCAGAGGACAACTTGTAGGAGTCAGTTTTCTTTCCATCACGTGGGACCTGGGAGTTGAACTCAGGGTGTCAGGCTTAGTAGCAAGTAGCCCTCTTGCTTTTTGCTTTCCATTTCTGGTCTGTTACATTATCCTTTTCTTTTTTTTTCCCCACCATGACTGTGTCTTTATTAAATTTAAAAATATTTGTTCTATAATATATGTTTGAACAGGAACATGAGATTTCAACATAGGCTCAATTTATCTTGAAATAATATTCTTCGGATTCTTTCACCTTTTTCTATTTAATTCATATCTTGTTTGCTTGCTCATTTCTTTTTTGGTATGTAGGATGAGATGGATGAGGTAGACATTTTTAAAGTACACAATTTATTTTTATTTTTAAACACAACTTCTTTTAAATGTATAAGATTATTCTAAAGAATTCAGAGATATTTAACAACCCTTTTTCTTCTACATTGATGTTTCCCTCATCTCTATATTATCTTACTAATTTAAAGAGACACAGGATTCAGGAACAGTTGATCCTTATTTCACAGAAAAGTAATTGAATCAGAAAAGGGAGGTTTCTCTAAGTCAGGCAGTCAGTCAATGGTAAACTGAAGACTGACGCAGAGTATCCGGGTTCAATTGCAAGGTCACTGAGCTTCAGTGTAGCATAACCTTGCTGTCATTTTACCCAGGGTTTTGTGACTGTATTAGATTTTAAGAACACAATGAGAAGAAAAATGTTACCCATCAAGATGGGTGTCTAGATTTTTATCTTGGGAAAACCTATACTTTTTTTTAATAGTTAAAGCACTGTTAGATATGAATATGAATACTTGTACTATTATTTCAAGGTGTTTTTATTGCTATTATGCTTTTTGTTTGTTTGTTTTTTGTTTTTTCGAGACAGGGTTTCTCTGTGTAGCTTTGCGCCTTTCCTGGAACTCGCTTTGGAGACCAGGCTGGCCTCGAACTCACAGAGATCCGCCTGCCTCTGCCTCCCAAGTGCTGGGATTAAAGGGGTGCGCCACCATGCCCGGCGCTATTATGCTTTTAAAGTTGAATTAACTTGTTACAGTGGCTTAATTCTTTACTCTTCCTGCACTAAGAAGTAGGGGTATTTTATAAAATGGGAGGGATTTTTGTTCGTTTTTTTTTTTTTTTTTTGTAATTCAAGTTCAGGAAATAGAGAAGAAAGATGGTACTACGTTGGTGTTCTCTTTGTTGTGGATAATCCATGGCTCACAGATGCTCTGTGGAAAGTCAGCTCTGAGTCAACACATACAAAACATCAAGTAGTTAATTCTTAAAATTGGTGAGAATTTGAGTTTGTTAAGGACTGCAATATTTTAAAAAGCACATGCCTGAAACAATCGTTCTCAAATTTTTCAGTTTTCAGCTCTAAATTAGTTCCTTTAATGGACTTGTATTTATAAAGTAATGAACTGATTTGTTGAAAAATGCAGGACTATCAGCCAGAATGTCTGTCACTGGACATGACTTCGTGGAAACTGAAATTTCAGATTGGTTTAACAAATCTAAAAAATTAAAAATATGAGATTAGGTATCTTTCCTCTAGAAAGTAATTCTAAGTATTGAAACAATTTGCTGATATGTGACCAGTTCCCATACTTTATGTTTTGCAGGTAATCTTTCATCAGGGGAAGGCCTTCTTGGCTCATCAGTTTAATAAATATACCACAGATTCTGTTGCTTACCCAAGCTACTGTTCTGATTCGTTGACATTTCTTCTCATATAGAAATACAACCTGTGCTGCCCCAGTTCTCTGCACAGCTGACTTGGGCTTCAGAGGAGGGTGACCATTCTCAAGAAACATCAGGCAGAACACCATTCCAGATGATTTTTAAGGCAAGTTTTGTTGTGGTTCTATACACTCTGATCATTTGACTTATTATTTTTTTATATAATTACAATTACAGGAAAGAAAGCCTGGTTCCATCATAGTTTGAAGGTAAAGTAAAATAAAGATGATGTGCAGACATTAGATGACCTAAGAGCTTCCAAAATGCTGATGTCTATGTCCTACTGAGAGGCTGATAGTTAATTGACCTTGGGAGCTGCATTAGTCTGGGCTTCCATACAAAATACCATAGACTAGGTGGCTTAAGCAGCAAAGATCTATTTTCTCACAGTTCTGGAGGCTGAAAGTCCAAGACCAAGATGCCATCTGGGTCATGTGTGATGTTTGCGTCTGTAATTCCTGTACACTGGAGACTAAGGCACCAGGATCAACTGAGCTCTGGAGAAAGGGTGATGGGAGGGGCTGGGGTACCTTCAGGATTGCTTTCTGGTGAGGCCTCTTCCTGGCTTGCAAATCTTGTCACTCAGTCCTTACATGGCCTTTCCTTAGTGTGTGTAAAAGAGAGATCTCTCTATTTGCATGTGAAAAAATACCTTCACTAACTCTTTAAGGTGCTGTGTCTGAAAATAGTCACCTTGGCAGTTAGGGCCTTGGAAGGTGGAGGCAGGAAGAGATCAGTTCAAAGGCATCCTCAGCAGCATAGCAAATTCTAGGCTGGCTTGATCTATATAAGAACTGGTTTCAAAAACCAACAAAAAGCAAAGTCTTCCAGGAAGCACTGGGAAGCATCTCTTCATGATTGAATAACTGCACATTCCTTCTGGAAGGAACAGGCATAACATTGGGATACCCTGACTGTGCCTTATCTTCTTTAGGGGAATGAAAAGTAAACAATCTGGAGCAATTAATGGTTAGTCAGCTCTGAAACTGCTGATGTCAAGAAGCAATAAAAAGGTGATTCCAGTGAACCAAGGAAAGCAATGCTAAGAAATGAGAGCATGTGATTCAGTCAATTTGAACAAATAAGAACTCACATGACTAACATTTACAAATATTTAAACCTCTGACACCTCTATGAAATGGATAGGATAAGGATTATCACCCCACTTTACAGATGAAAAAATTGAGATTCAGAGAATTGGGATGACTTTCCTAGTGTCATAAGAAAGTGGAACAATTAGAACTTAAACTGTCTGATTCATGTAGGTCAATGCTAGTTCAGTATTTATTCATTTTGAAGCCCGTGTCTGTTCAAATTAGTCACACTGAGCTAGGTCTTATTGGTACACATTCTCTGGATATGTTATTTGATCTTAAGGAACTTGGAATATAAAGGAAGTCCCACATGTCAACAAACATCACCAAACATTGTGATATATGCCATAATGAGGTAAGCACTGAGTGCTGTCCTAGCACAGAGGAAGGACACCTAACCCAACCAGAAGGGGTTCAGGTCTAGAGGTCTTGATATTGAAAAATAGATTTGAATTTAGATCAGATAAACTCTACACATAAGAGGTTATAACACAGGGTTGGAGAGATGACTCAGAGGTTAAGAGCACTGGCTGCTCTTCCAGAGGTACTGAGTTCAATTCCCAGCAACCACATGGTGGCTCACAACCATCTATAATAAGATCTAGTGCCCTCTTCTGGCATGCAGGCATACACGGAGACAGAACACTGTATACATAATAAATATTTTTTAAAAAAGAGATTATAACACTTGAAAGAATTAGATAATAAAAAAAGATTCTCTTTTTTTCCTATTGCAAAACTGTTTCCCTAAGAAAATACAAGTATGATTAAATCAAATATTTAGACTACATATATAATATTTAGATTATATATAATTTGCCTTATCAAGGAGTTGCTGATAATACATTGGTGTGTATCTTTTCCAGTTAGAGTGAGGCATTTCGGTTTAAAGCAGTGGTTCTCAACCTGTGGGTCATGATCCCTTCACGTCAAATGACCCTTTCACAGGGAGTGCATACCAGATATTTACTTTACAGTTCATAACAGTAGCAAAATTATAGTTATGATGTAGAAACAAAATAATTTTATGGTTTGTGGTCACTATAACATGAGGAACTATATTAAAAGGTTGCAATAATAGGAAGGTTTAGAACTGGTTTAAAGTTTATAGAATAAGTTCTAATATGGAAATAGCTAAACATGAGTGGAAATCAAGGTCATGGTCATTGAAGAGGTCAGGGAATTAGGAAAGAATTGTTGTTTAGTGTGATCATCTTGACAGGCAAATAAAACCTTTTTGCTATGCTGGGTATGGAACCTAGGGCCTCAAGCATGTTGGATGAGCAGTCTGTCACTACACTCCTAACTCTTGGCCATGTACTTGTATGTGAAAATCAGATTTTGAAGTACAAAGGGGATCTGTGAGCTTATTGACCAGGAAAAAGATGGTGCTGGAGATGAGAGGTAAAAGAATAGTGTAGCCAGGTAGTACTAGCCTCAAAGGAGTAAGGACTTCCTTAAAGCATCATTTCCATTGCATCTCTGTCTCTACTATCATATAGCTATTTAAAAGGTATTTAAATTAAGAGAGTGATAAGAGAGTGCCTAAGATTTCATTGTAGGATTTTAGGCGGTGTGTGTGTGTGTGTGTGTGTGTGTGTGTGTGTGTGTGTGTAGGGTCGAGTAGCAAGATTTACAGCAACCACTAGTTGAGACATCCATGAAAAGACTATACTAATGATCTATTTAACTTTTTCATATGAGGAAAATTAATCTCTGGGAAATGTCTTATGTAAAAGAGATAGTGACTTTGGTGTTTATATGACTCCCTGCATGAGTCTGGGTAATGTGGAAGGCCTGCTCCTACCTTTTAAAGGGTTCCTATGAGGAGGAGAGGAATAAGAAACTTTTAGATAGAAAGATAGTGGAGAGGACAGACAGAAACACAGGATAGCTTCAGGAAGACCTGGATCAAAATCCATCGGCCCCTTCTGTCTCTTCAAAAGGGCTTTTTATAACAATGCCAAGGGGTGGGGCAAAAGACCTCCTCCTTGCTAGATCAAAGCATACTGCACAGCCAAGTATAGACCCTTCCAAACACCTGTAATGTGGGGATTTATCAAGGCAACTCCATGTAGTTAAAAAAGGAGGTTTATTTTGGGGTAACTTACAGCTAGTAAAGGGGTTGGTTACAGGATCCAGGAGAGATGAGGTGCAGTTCAACAGGGTTCTCTGGAGAACTCTGACTCAGTCTGCCCTCCAGCATCCAGGATTTCAAGGAACCAAGAGAGCTGGCATGTCTGGATCTCTGGTCTTAAGGGCTCCCAACTTGGCCCTGCCCCAGGGGAAGGTCATAGGCAGGCGTGGCAGTTACCAGAAGCCTCACTAGAGGTAGTACTTCCAGGCCAAAGCTGGAGCAGCTACCTCCTACACACCTAGTAATCACGCCCATGGTCAAATCATCCCCTTATGCACTCCTGCTGTGTTAAAGCAAGCTCAGATTCTTGGATCCTGAGTAAGTTCTCACTAGGAAACCTCTGTGGGTCTCTACAGCTCCCCCTTCTTAATATAATAAAGATCCCCTCAGACCTCTCAGATAGACTGTGCCTGCTTTAGGTCATTCTTCCCTAGTCAACCCTAGCCATCCTTGAGATACACTTTCCATCAAGTATACTCTGTCTTAGGTTGGAAGCTAACAAGAAGAACGTTGCCTGTCCTTGACTACCAGTCTCTGGCAGGGGGAAGTACAGAGCTTAACTCGGCTCTGACTGAGGTCCCTACTAAGAGCTTGCAAGTAGTTGGAACAACCACAGCAATCCCTATGGCTGCCACACTCCCCAGTAAAGGAGTAGAAGATGACAAAGATGGAATGTCCTTTTTGGATGGGTCTAAGATGTCTATAACAGCCTTAGCTGTGCCAAGCCCTTTTTCAATTCAATAAACTCTTGATGAAAATGCATCAAATAAATCAATAAACTCCTGATGCAACTGCATCACACTTAGATTCCCTTAGCTTCACCAAACCATGGTTAATCAATATCAACAGATTAACATAATTCTAGTATGAATATTGCTAGACATATTTGCAACTAGCATGAATATTACTATACATATTTATAATTCTTACATTCAAAAGCAAACTCTCTATAGAACTACTTTACAAACTTTAGCAAACATCTAAAAGAGATCTCTTAAAGAACTATTTACATTTTCTTCAAACAAGACAGAGAATACATGAATCATGAGTCACCACAGTTAAAATTGTAGGCGAACTCAAAACTGTTTCATTTCTGAGATTTGCAAAAGCTCAGAAAAGTCAGTTCTAATAACAGTCTTATAGTTCCCCTGAAAGTTTGAAATCAGAGCCTAATTCATCAGTGGCTCTAGAGTCTTTGTATCCAGCTTCCTTGATCCCAGGATTTGGTGAGTGCCGCAGCCAGGGGGTTGTAACACTTGGGATGACGTTGTACCCCACCAAGCCACCTTCCCCACCAGGTCTTTCTAGCCGTTCTGGAGCTGGTGGAAGTGTGCCCAGTGGCAGACGGTCACCGGCCAGGGGGCAGTCCCTTTACCCAAATTCATCGCAGTTCCCCTGAATCAACTAAGTTCAAACAAACATTACTGAAACTTCACTCTCAATTACAGGAGCACTTTCAGTTAGCTTTCCCTAGGAGAGCTGCCCTAGGGTGAAGGAGGTTGTCATAGTATCTAAGCAGCTACAGAGCTACTTTCAGAAAGCTAGCAAACAGAAACTGCATGAGTTGGGCTGCTAGCTTTGGTCAGGCGTTTACAATCCCAGTCCTGAGGCCCAAGCACTCTCAACTGCCTCTCACCCCAGGGGCTCAAGGTTCTTCCTGCTTCTATGAGCCACAGCTCTCAAGCAGCCCTGGCTCCAGGAGGAAACCCAGCTGCTATGAGCTGTGGTTTCTCTCACACTGTATTACCCTGGGTGTCTGGCTGTTCAATTATGGGGAATATTTGAAGGCCTTGTACCTCTTTCTCTCTGCCAGCTGCCTCCTGAATACTGGCTTAAAGGGAGACACAGCGCTGGCAGCCAGGGTTTAGCATGTTA